TCTCTCAAAAAAAAAAAAAAAAAAGAATGATATAAATATTGAAACTTAAAAAAAATTATTATTTAACTTTATTTATTAGTATTGTTTGTTTATTTTGCTATAGGATACATGCACTCATAGAGAGAAAGAGACAGAAAGAGAAAGTGAGAAAGTGAGCCGCCATGTCCAGGACTTGAACAATGGTCAACCATGTGAGAGTCTGTCCTGTCCCTGTTCGGGCGCCACGTGTCCCGACTTGGGGAGGTGGGGAGGAGGGGGGACAGCCCAATAGGTTTCCTGAGTGAAGGAGTGAGAGCCGGGACAAGCAGCGTAGTGTTACAACACGGAGACGACAGTGTCGTCCGTTTATTGTGGGCAGCACGGTACAGCACAGAGACGACGCAGTGTCACAACTCTTAAGGGTCGCTTCGTCTACTGTGAGCAGCACGGAGACGACGCGGTGTCACAACTCTTCAGGGTCGTCCGGAGACGATGTAGTGTTACAGCTCTTCAGGGTCTCCCAGGTCGTCTGGAGGCGATGTAGTGTCAGCTCTTCAGGATCTTCAGGGTCCTCTGGAGACTGAGCGGTGTTTCAGCTCTTCAGGCTCTTCAGTGGTCGTCTTCCTGGTCGTCGTCATCTGGCTACTGTGGGCCAGGCATCGTGGTAATATACACTCTGGTGGGTTGTAAACGGTGGGCCGTGATTGGTTGTAAACGGTGGGCCATGATTGGTTGCTTTTGGACCAATCATGAGGTGCCGGATATGCAAATTTGAGGGATTCTAGTGGCCAATCAGAGCAAAGTTTCGAAGGTCAGGTTTTTTGAAGGGAACCAATCATGGCAATTGTTTGCTCCCTGAGAAACCTTGGCAGACTCGCTGGTGGGCAGCCTCCCACAAGAGTCCAACACCCCAACCACCACACCACCCACTGGCCCCTAAATATTGAAACTTTAACCTCAATTTTTTTTCTGTCAAATATTTAAGGGCACAATAAAAATTTCTAATTTAGAAATAGAGGAGGATATCGTATAATCAAAGAGAACTTGAAAGGTATAGAAAGTGATTAGAAAAACAACATGAAACTCCAATCATGATGGAATAAGAAAGAAGATCCCTGTTCTTACTCCACCGCCTTCCACTCTGCTCTGCCATCCTGGTCTCCACCCCACTCACTCTTCTTCATAAAGGTTTGCATTTCAAAGGTATGTCTTTTTCTCACTTACGTTAGAAAGACTGAATGCATCTGAGTTCTTCCCTGCCTTACTCCAGATCCCTTCTATAAAGGCCAGTTGTCTATGACGGAGGCTCTAGAGCTTTCCAAGATACCCGATTCCACATTTTGTGGTCCATGGTCTTTCAGGGTGTACAGTGTACAGTCCCAGAGCTCAGATTTGCCACTGGCAGCAGGGCCCAGGTCCCCAGATCCAACAATGGGCTTGCCTGGTCCAGCCACAAAACATTTATAACCTCTCCAAGCAGTCCTCTGGCAGAGCAAAGCAAACTGTGAGCTCAGGAAGCTAATGACCTTGAAACTATCCATTTATCTTGGCCTTTCCCCCTCCATGTGAGATGCCACAAAAAGTGCCAGTCTCTCTCTTTCTCTCTGAAGGAGAATGAATATAGCCAGAAAGTCATGCCTTACCCCTGCTCTTTCTCCTGGACGAAACCCAGGACTGGAATACCGATGGGAACCAAATGGGAGAGGGAATCATTCTCGATCATTCAAACTGCCTTCCTGAATCCTCCAGGTAGGGCATAGAGCTCACCTCGGTTCTGCTTCAAAGCCTAATGTTTGTTGCCTTCTCCATAAATCTTCATAAGTAGACAATGCGGATTCCTAACAAACCTCCCGCTTGGAGCCAGAGACTGGTGACAACCTTCCCATCTCGAGCTGCGTTGGCAGCCTGCAGTGGACAATACAGCTCCCAGCTACCTCCACCCTCCCAATGAGAGGAGGAGGAGGGCAGCTACCCTCAGGAATTTGAGCTTCTGAAATCAATAGTTCTTCTCATTGCCCAGCATCTGCTTCGGCGTCTGCCCTCACCCTGGCACAGGGACATCAGTGTCCCGCTGGGCCTAGCTGAAGCCAAGAGCTGGCACAGCGAGACTCCCCTTTGTTTATGGTGTGGGCCACTTGGGTGTGAGATGTTTCCTCTTCTCTTTCCTGCAACACTCAATTGGATTTGGGTTAAACAACAAATTCATGGACTGTGGCTGGGTTGAGAAGGCAACTTGTCTCAAGCCTGGAATATAAACAAACAAACAAGACCAAAATCAACAAAGAAAAATAAAATTACTATGCATTTGGAAAAGGCAAAGCCGGTTTTAGGATAAGGAAGTCCAATGTCCCTACTATCTGTCTGTATCTTTGATTTTGTGGGAGCTCCATTTTCTTGATAACTTTTCTTTTTCTCTTACCCTCCCTAACTCTCCCTATATTTCTCTTCTTCTGTGGAATCATACCAGGGTCATGTATGTTATGCCCACAGCAGAGCACACCAAGGTTTCCTCGTTATTTGACTCTTCTGCTCCTCATTTCCGGTACCTCCCAGAAGGCAATGTGAAGTAAGGACATTCGGGGAGAACACCTTGAGGAGGAAGGAAAAGAATGAGGGGCTGATGTAATGGTTTCCCATTCAGATTGCTAATTTAGGACTCTACCTTTGGAGTTGGTTTTTGTTTTTGTTTTGTTTCCAAATCTGGTTTTAAGGGTAAAATATATATTATTTTCAAGTAAATCTACAGTTGTGTTTAAAATTCCCAGGCTTCCTTGGATGCATGAAAAGGTAGATTGTTTGCTACTGTATTAATGTGTGAAATGGCTAAATTAATCCTTCCATATGATGTCTGAATAGGTTATTATAAGGTGCTTAGAGATTTGGCAGGCTAAGCCCCATCTTTCTTTCAAGATGTTAAGAAAATAAATGTAAATGCAGGAAACACTGCATGTGGGGCATCTGCTGTCCAACTTTCTAATTTGAATGTCAGTGTAATATTTAGGAAAAGTTAACCACAAGAACAAGGGCACAAAATTCTCACTGGAGTTGATTCTTCTTCTGAACCTCTACTCAGTCACATTTGGTCCTAAGGGACTTGAGACTTGATCACTTTCCAGTTTCCCAATCTTTTTGTCTTAGTTAAGACTCTTTAGTCTTCTGTTTAACAAAACCCAACTTGACCTAGTTTGAACCAAGAGGAGAATGCATTAGGAAGTTACCAGGGCATCTTGTGAACCCAAAGCCAATAGGGCTTCTCCAGGAGCACAAAACAGGAACTGGAAGGATATCAGGAATCCAGGCTGCATGCTTGCTCTATTTATTTTCCTCTGTGTTTACTGTTTTCTCTGTTCTTTTGCTTTTCTTTAAGGTTGGCTTTCTCTGTTGCTGCTTTCATGTGGAGAAAGATGGTAAATCTAACTCCAGGGTTTTAAAATGTTCCTCAACTACATACACATGAAGAACATGGCCACCGTGAATCAGAATTTCACTTTGGCATTCATTTTTTTTTAACATGTCTGAACTCTTCCTTGTTGCTTTATTTGTATTGCTCTGTTTGCCTTGTTCCTTTCTCAAAGCATCCTGTTCTTGTTATGTGAATTTGATACTTTTTTCTGTCTCACTTAGAGCACTATTTAGATGTTTGTGTTGCCTTTTTATTTTGGTTTTCAATTTTCTCTTTTGTTACTTAAAATTTCTCTCTTTTTCCCTCAATATTAATTTATTGTGATTCATTCTGTTTTATCTTATTTTCATGTTACTCATCTTATTCTAAGATCTGATAACTTTGCTTGTCCATTTATAATTAAGGATAAGAGAGTGGCTTAATTTGTTTCTAGGCAGCTAGAATTTTCCCTGCTGTTGTGTCTGATCTGTCATAAATATAATGTTTGACTGGGAAAATTGTAAATGTGAGCAGATATCACCAAAGGGCAAGCATCTCTTCAGAATAAGCAGAGGAGGAGTTGGTCACGTAGGACACTGGATTTGAGGCTAGACGTGCCTTAACAAGAACAGAGTGGTCTTTACTCTGGGACATTAACATCCACCCTAGTAGACCTAATTCTCTTCAGGCTAGACCCACTTTTGTTTCACCTTGGGGAGGGGAAGAATTGGGTTGCCTTCCTAGAGATGGTGGAGAGAAGAGGAGAGGGAAGCATGGAGAAATAATTGGTGTGATTATTTACTAAGAAAAAATTTGTACCTAACAATTGAGCTTGTTGCAGGCTTCTGTTGGCCTTTCAGTTGTAGAAGCCTTCAGTGTTGTCTGGGCTGCTGCTTCCCCACATCATATATTCTGCCAATATTCTCCCAGACTCTTTTCATGTTTCATATTCCAGATTTGTTAAAATATCTTTCTTGGTAATAATTATTTTTATAGTTGTGAATTAATTTTTTATATCCTATTGGATTCTCAAGAGAGAAACCAGTGAGTACAAAATACTTGTACTACTTTGGCCATCCTGAGCAGAAAATTACTTCTTATCCCACCTTGTGATTTGACCTCTTATCTCTTATTGTTTTTGTTCAGCCTTTGTTAAGCACAAGATTGTAATGTAGTCAAATTCATGCATCTTTCCTTAAGTTTTCATTTAATTTTACTTTTTAAGATAGGGTCTTGCTGCATTGCAGCCCTCCTGCTTCAAACTCTCAAATAGCTAGTCACAGGCATGTCCCAACACTCCCAGTTCTTTCAGGCAAGATCTTACTGCGTTGCCCAGGTCAGCCTCAAGCTCACAATCCTCTTGCCCCAGCTCCTTAAATCACTGGGATTTCAGGTGCATGCCACTGCCCCTGGCCTTTATGTTGGACTGGGAACTGATCCCAGACATCCAGTTTGGTGCCAGCCTGCAGAACACATCTTAGTAGCATCTGTCACAGTGTTGGACCCCATTTTGGAATTTTAGGGAGTGATTGTATGTATTTCTTACATGAAGAAATTCTATATTATCATTCAAAAGCTTGTATTAATAGTTTTACCTTTTGTATTTAGATATTTAATCTACCTCAACTTTATCACTAAAAAGGCATTCCTTTTCCCACTAACTTTCCATGGGCCTCCATTATATATCAAAGATTCACACATACTTTTTGTGTCCTCTATGTTCTGTCCCACTGGTTTATTTGTCCATCTCTGTACTAATACCACATTGCCTTATAACTTAAATCTTGGTATCTGGTAGAGCAAGTCCTACTACTTCATTGTTTTCTTTAAGATAATCTAAAATAGTCTTTGTATTTACATGAAAAGTTTATAATTGGTCCAGTAGGTGGTGTGGTAGTTAAAGCACATAGGTGACTACAGTTAAAGTCAACTTTATGGTTTGAAAATCATGCTGGGCATGTGTGTGTGTGTGTGTGTGTGTGTGTGTGTGTGTGTGTGCCCAAAATTCTGAGAGGAGAATGATGGAGGAAAAGGAATTCCAGTGTGGCCATGCCCCTGGGGGTGGGGTGGGGAGGATTTCCCACTTTCTTGCTGTCTCTCTTTCTCTCTCTCTGGTAAGTACACAACCCCTTTGGGAAGAAACAAAAAAAAAACTAAAAAATAAGTAAATAAATAAAAAGTTTATAATAAACTCATCAAATTCTCCAAAAAAAAAATGCTTGCTGAGATTTGAATTAGGATTAAGATACACAGGATTTATAAATCTATCCATCAATTTGCAAAAATGAGTATCTTTCCAATATTAGGTCTTCCTATCCATGAATATAGTTTATTTCTCAATTTACTTAGGTTGTCCTTAATATCTTACAACTTAAATTTTTTTCTCCATATAGGTCTTGCATACATTTTTAAATATTTGTATCATTTGCTGCTGATTTATGGGACTCTTACTGACTTATTTATGGTTTAAAATCTCTATACTAGATTGTAAGCTCCAGAAGGGTGGTGACTATGTCTAGCTCATTCACTACTAGATTTCCCAACCCCCTGCCAGGGTCTGGCACATACAAGGCTGATAATAGTAATTTTCTGAACTAAACACTTCACTATTGGCTTTCTTTCATGTCATCACCTCTGGGGAATCTTTCTCATTTCTCTGAGTTACTCTCTCCTTGCTTCGCAGCCCTGTGTCCTTAATACTATTATGCCACCAAACCATGCTGAACCTTGTTGACTTCCTTTTGGAGACTGTAGCCTCCTAAAGCTCTGTTCACTTTTTGACTCTCAGCACCTGCACACAGATCCTCCTGCTTCAAACTCTAATATAGATAGGGTCACAGACATGTGTCATCACTCCCAGTTCTTAAAGGCAAGGTGCTATGCACACGGTGTCAGGAACATAGTAGGTACCTTATTAGCTTCAGCAAATGAATAAGAAATAAGAAATTAATTGAGTGTGTGTGTACAAGTATTTGAGAATTTCTTGCCTTGGGGCAGTCTTTTAAATGAAGCTAACTAACTGCAAGTTATTTGTTACACATCAGTAATTAATCTCCCTTTGAGATGATCTAAGATAGAAACACCTTATAGTGAATTGCAGTCAGTAGTGAATACTGTTACAGGGAGGGTCTGGTGTAGCGTATGTGTGTGTGTGGATGTGTATGTAATATATCATATATTTTTTTCTTTCTAAAAAAGCTTACAAAAATAAAGAAAATGTCAAAGCCTTTTAAAGGGCGTGATCACGCTGAGTAATACAACCCTTCCTTGATTTTTACATTATTTCAGTATGAGATGTTTTTATGGCTCTTGCTAAAAATAAAAGACATTTCAATTTCTCAGTAAATGAAGCACTGCAGACTTTTCAGTTTTGTTGTTTCCCCTAAAATTAATATAATTAATTAAAATCCAATGTTAGTCTGATTTACAATCTGTGAGTCAATGAGTCACAGAATCTTATGCTAATAGGGCAGCTCAGTTTTCTGTGCACTCACCAATAAACAGTATCCCAGCAAAAGGACAAGAGGAACAGGGGTGACAAGGAGGCCTAGAAAAAAAGACCCTTCTCACCTGGCCATAATATATTTATATTATGTTTAGAATAGAAAGGTCTAAGAATTTGGAAAGACAACAGCTTTTATCAAGTGTAAGAAATTAGTTTAAATGAATTTAAATGTAATTACAGGAGCAGCTGGTGAAGGCTAATTTCTGTTCAGTCTGGCTTCTCAGGAATTGCACCCCCATTCTGTTCCTGGGGAAAGGATCAAGTTTCAAGCTTTATATCACTGATACCAACCCTTACAGGTGGGGGTCAGTGCTCAGAACCACGGAGGAGATACCCCTCTCCTGGTGTTTACCTGTA